TTTCTAGCTACTATAAGGGATTTAGCGTGTAATTATTTATTTATTGCAAACGATCCTCTTAAGAACTAGTTTTCATCAAGACCTTATTTGTTTTTTATCAACTATAATGCTTTTTGTATTTATCATTTACAATAATTAATGAATTTTGTCGCCATCCTATAAAACAACAATTTCGTTTTCATCCGTGCAATGATATATACGTATTGTTAGGAAGAGGCAGTGTTAGTAGTTTTTTTTTTTTTTTTAATGGGTGATAATGAAATGGTAAACTCGCCTGCGCTATCGGTATACGCTGGCGAGGCACCAGTGAGGGATGATAGCTGACGATGAAAGCAGGTCAGCCCATCATGACTAATTCAGCTAGAATTAATCACGATAGTTTCCAGGGGGAACCGCGTGGATATCGACCTAATATGGTGTATTGCTAGTAATGCGGGAATTAGACTCCATTAGTAACAATCCCTTTCTCACCGCAGTGTTAGTAGTACGAAAGAAACTACAAGTATTTCTGTCTTAAATCTAGGTAAAACGATCACGCTGTTGTGCTCTTAAATGATTTTCCAGGAGTCTTTTCATCCTCTTGTACGTGTTTTCATTATGGTTAAAATAATAAATGTATTTTTCCGTGAATTGATACCAAATCTTGCAACAACTGTGACTCACGAATGTGTTCTATCGCCGACTAGTCCGTCCTTTCTCCACGATCAGCTGGCTGGCGGTCGGCGGCGTGAGGTCGCGGCCACAGACGCCCTTTCTAACTGCATTGTGGCAACTCACGCGTTTCGTTAGCAATGCTTCTCATGAACACAACGCAAGTATACAACTAGTAAATGTCAATAGTGTTTAAATAAAACTTACTGACACTGATTTTGTATGTACTTAAAACTTTGGGGTTGGGTCTGGTGTACTTAAAAAACTGACTGTTTGAACCTTGTTGATGTTGGATCTAAATCTTTCATTTTTATGCAGTAGTTGAGAGTTTTTTACTTTTATCATTTCTAAATCTGTTACTGTTGTTTTTCACTGGTAGGATAAAAAGTATTAGCATCTATCCATACAAATTTTGCTGCGGTCTGGCCATGTATCATACGTACAGTAACAAGCATAAAACTTTTAAAAAATATTTAATCATTAATTAAATTTTAATCATTAACATAATATTTTTTTATCACACTAATCTAACCTTCGTGATATAATCACGAAGGTTAGATTAGTTTAGTATTAATTTTGTGGATTAGATTTTAACCTTAGGTCCACTTATTGTTCTAAATCATAATTAGTCATCACAGTATCCGAAATAGCACTATTACTAACTTGCGGCAAAGTGTAAATTATATACTGTGTAGTGATTGTGATGTCACTCACATCATCGTGGATGACTATATTATAATAAACGTTGAGATCATCAAAATTGTAAGTAGAACATATGGCTAAACACATGTTCAGTCAACATAGGGTACGGTGGAATTTTGGGTCCTGTATGTCTCATAATGTAAACTTCTTACTCATCAAGTAGAAATGGGTAATCCAACAATGATAAATTAAATTCTCGATTTTTACTAAAAAAAACTTTTTGGAAATTCGATCCTGGACTTAGGACTTTTAATTTTGGTCAGACTATTTCTTCGACGCTAATATTACATATTGTATTGTAATTAAAAATATCTTCGAAATACCTACTTGTATTTCTACAATAGATAAGGAATCACAGCACACCTTTAGATCGATACGGATCAATTGTTATGTGTATGATTTATTGAAAATTTTCTGTCAAGAAACGTGTTGCTTACAACAAAACTGGACCCCGTTTTCTTATTTTTCCTGATGAATTAACGAAGAAACCAAAAAGGCAAGGTGACTACATATTAAATACATCAAATTTATTTTTATATCATCATGTTATAATTTACTATTCTTAATGTTTGGATCATAAAAAGAAGAACTGAATGCTATAAGAAATAAATAAATAAACTTTTAAACATATACGTAAAGATTAACAGTTCTAGTTTTTGGTTCTTTAAGTCTTGTTACAATATCTAGTTAGATAGGTACTCATACCAAACTGTAGATATCTCCAACTTCATTAAGTAACCACATTGAAAATTTCAATTTGTTTTACAGTTAACTTGTTTAATGAATTCAAGTCGGACTGTGTTCATTACAATATTTTTCAACCTTATTATATAGTAGTAAAATAAAATAAAAATATATAAAGAAACCTGTTTCTGTATATTCATGAATGCTGTTAAAATCTTAAGTGTATCGTAGTGTTGCTTTTGAGAACTAGATTCAAAGTTAGCAAACTAAAATATAAAAGTGGTCATTTTGTTTCTAAACTGGTTAGTAACGGGTGACCCCTTGGAGCGACGATTTCAAATGTATAGAGTCGAATGACTATATATTATACATTGTATATGTATATAGGAGGCTCAGAGAATTTCTATCGTGCGGTCTCTTTTGGGTACCTAAGTCCGACATTGTACTATGAAAAGGTGAAATAATAATGAATGTGATTTATTATCATTTGTAACAGTTGTTGCCATATAGATAAATAATTTATTTGCATCATCTACAGCATACAATTTAATAACAGATACAGTTAAACAGGCACAAAAAGAGAGAGAGAGAAGAAATATAAAAAAAGAAAATACATAAGTAGCATTTTTTCTTTCCTGTATGGGCAACAGTAACTAAAGTGCCCACAATTCAGTTTATTGCTATGTCTTCCAAAATGGAAAACACTGATTTTCCGGTGTGTCCAAAAGCCATACAATCTCTTCAATTCCGTCTTTATCGATTTTGATTGAGTTTAAAGCTTGTTAGACTTGAAATTGTTTATATTATCTATGTTATTTCTTGACTTAGTAAACAACAAACAATCTGGCAAACATAAAACAACACTGGTTTATTTTAATTGTTACATTTAGTTGTGATTATAATTTAATTTTCATTTTATAATGACATCTATAATATAATTTAAATATTCATACAATAATTTTGCAACGCATACATAATGACATAAATTCATCGTGTTCCAAATTATATAAATACTTAATGGATTATCGAACGTTATGACAGCAAGAAGAGAATTAACATTTTTATGATGAAAATATTAAGTCCGCATAGTGGAGCAAAAATTTGCATAAGTGTATTGCTTACATAAATTAAGTTGTTAACAGATGTGTGTTCTATGTGATTTGTGAGTTGTGACAAGTTGGACTCTAAAATGAATCCAATATCTTGGACTAGAGTTAATAATGACCACTTTCTACCGACAACACCCGTGACCCTGATCACAGCGGCAACAGTAGACATCATCGTTAATTGCGTTACTCATTTACATTTACAAATATTTGCCTAGACTATGTGTAATAAATCCACTACTTGCAACGAAGGCCCTTGTTTTTAAACCATTATTAAATTGGACGTTATAATTAACCTACCTTTATCCGTTGTCAATGATCTTAAGTTAGATTTCTACATATTTTTCAAATATTTCGTAATTGTGATAAGTATAACTATTTCCAATGCATGATTTTTATTTTTGATCTCAAAAATACCAATATATTTTAAAAATACAAAATAATAATATCAATAATAAAACACATTCTATATCTGTATAATTCAGTATTCGACACAAATCCCATTTTACATACAAAGAAGTAGCTTTTCATGCATTCATGTTTAATTTATTGATTGTCCTGGATACGTTTATTTATATCATAAGTGCACTTCAATCATCCAATACGTGATATATAATGGAACAAAAGTAGGAAAATTTGCAGAACAATAATCTTTACAATTATTGTTTCAAGTTATTCACTAATTATTAACCTTTTTAAAATACAACCTCATTATATAAAAATCGCCTAAATTTCCATGGAACGCTTTCTCTTGGCATGGAACAGAAGGACGGTACCGCTGTGCTCGCCTTGCTATGTCCCCTAATCAGGTTTTAGAATTTATAATATTTTCTACTATACAATTTTAGTACAATATTTTAGTATGCATATCCATCTTTTCCATAGTAGTCTGAATATTAAAAATATTATCTACCTTCCTACACTTAACAATTGTGTAATATGTTTATAACCTTCTAATGTCAAATTTGGTCTAAATAAAAGTAAACTCTATTCTATCTAGCTCAGTACATGTATTGTCAACATTTGTACCGGATGGCGGGGGATTGTGCAAGTTGCCGCGCCCTGCAACTTCCGCGACCATATACTTTTTGTTGTGCCCATTCTGTTGTATTGCACCAGTTGGTTGCTGATATATTTTTATCGATACATTTATTTTCAATAGTTATTTTGAAACTGGTATAATCATTGTATCACCTAGGATCGGTACTTTATAAAGCTGCTTTCGTATCCTTACTGAGTGATATCCGTATTACATAAGAAGATTAGAAACAAAAATTATAAATATGTCCCCTAAGTTCTTAAGTTGTTTACTACTGTAATATTTTGTAGTAAATAATATGTACAAATTTATCTATAGGGGAAAATATTGTCTGTAATTATGGTCTTACATAGTTACTGTATTACTTACTTACTTTTAAAAATGAATCCCAAATTCCACTAAATGCCAGCAATCTCCAGATTTAACATACTTTAGTCATCATATTAGTAAAAATTCAAATCACTACTATTTAAATTTACTATACTATTTAAATGTTAATGCAAATTTTATTCGTTCTAGAAAAAAAAGCAATGTTTGTTCATGAGATAAAGACCTTAATTTTAATAATAAACTCCGTTCCAGGTTGACCATCAAAAAAACATTTGATTTTTTTTTAACTTAATATTGTTTTAGTTATAGACCAAATATTTTCTATGAGTTATAAGACGAGTACACACGTAATACGATAGTATTATTATTAGTAATAATCGCTTTAGTTATTTTTGGAAACTCGATAAAATGACAACCCATACATTTCATCCCCAACTGTCATCGACGGAACATGACTCAGCATCAGTATTAAATTACACTGCACTTACCATGGATCGATGAAGCTGCTCCACTTCTCTTTTTATTGATAACGTAAAAGTGTCACATCCTATTAGCTACTCGAGTGCTGCCTTTTGAAAGCATCGTTCATTATTTTGTACATTTGAGCAGTCATTAATCTCTCGTAAGTTATCATGTGTACTTTGGATCTATAGAAAACGACATGAGCAATTGAAAGTTGTAGGTTTAGGTGGAAGAAAGTGGCTATATAATAGTCAATTTACATTTTCATTTTATACGTTTAATTAAGAAATGCTTATTGAGTATAAAGAACTTGGAAAATAAACGTGCTTGCTGATAGTTGATTGATCGTGAAATCAATGTGTCAGTATTCCAAAAACTTCGAATCAAATCGTGATAAATAGTAATGATTTAAAAAGTAATGTACTGAAAGCCTCCGTAAAAGTTATTAACTAAATAGAGTTTATTAGACTCGAGTGTCATGATGTTTTAGTTAATATCTTAAAACAACTGTGAGCGCTGAGTGTGTTCTTACAAGGTTGTTTTTTAAATAACTAATTAATTTTATTATAGCTTTGTTTGTTTTAATTCAAATAATAATTTAATTATAATTCAAATTACCGTATCTACTTAAATCATTATGTATATATGTATTCTCTCACGACATAATGCAGCTATTTCAAGTCCACTTCCTTTAGATGATTTGGGTTAATCGTTTATTATCTTCATCACAAATCTGTAGCGTCACGAACAGCGAATGTATTAGCTCTTTCGGGAAATATTACATGAACATAACTAAGTAACCGTAAAGCTGTCAACGAAAACGAGGATATGATTTACTAACGGCCACAAGCGATAACTTCAGGAACTACATTGAAGATTTATAGTCACGCTATTTTCAGTTTTTATTAATTGGCCACGTGTAACATGTTCACTTCGTATGTTGGATTATAATCATTCTGGTTTTGATTTTTGTTAAATATAAATTAAAACAAATATTTGACAAACAAGCTCTTTTGATAATCTTGGGCTCCATCCTAAATATATTCAGTTCGCCAATTATTCCATCGAGACCACATTATAAATGCAGAATTGAAATTTATAAAAAGGTTTACCGTTGGCCTGATTTAAATTCACGAGTGCGTAAATTTTACGACTCGGGCTTATGAAACCGCTAGAACAATTAATATAAGTTTATTATTATATTAACATCATCATAAATACTCATTAATGTCCTGCTTGGTAAGTATTGGTCTCTTCCCAGAGTTGAATATTAGCTAGTTAGGCACTTCAGTGTAGGGTTTTATTTTGAATATTTCTTAACTGCCATTGGATTCCATAACTTCTTCTTTAATAACATATTTTAAATGAGAAGTGGGAGGTAATAATGAAAATTCATGTATTTTTTGTTCTTACCCCATGAGTACATAGAGATTTTATTATTATTTTTATTATTTAGTACTTGATAGAAATCCTAACCATATATGGTAAGTTGAGATTGTGGTAATTAGAGAAGTGGGCACACTTTCACGTTTGCGAGCCGTGGTCAGGTGTTGGTTGCATTTCTCTGTCGTGGGTCACTGCACTTTCTTACGTACTGTATATATCAAATTTTGTGCTAGTTCATCTTGTAGGGAATGTACGAGTAATAAATTTGATTTTGTTGATCGCCTAAGTTTAGCTTAAATTAGCTTATATTTTTATTATTTAGCTAGTAATTAGTTATTTAGCAGGTAAATAATATGAATTATGGTCAATTGGACTGTCTTAATAACTACGCTGTTGTACAGTGATTACCTCGCGTTTCATTTAAATATTTTTGTTTGTACACAATTTTTGTTCTATACTCGTCTATCTAAATTTTCGGTCATAGTGTTGTATTCGTCGAAAATCCAGCGAGAACAAAAATAGCAGCAAATTGAGGAACATAATGAAGATTTTTTGATGTCAGTAATTTTTTTACTATCATTTAGGAAATACTTATTTGTAGCAAAATCTGAAGACATGTTACCCCTCATGTGACAGCAAAACTCCACAAGTGACAAATTAGTGAATAGAACTGCGCAGGCGCAAGCCGCCGTGACGGATTAGCTAGTTTTTTCGCCGCCATCTTGGCTAAAATGGCGCGTCTTGTAGTGTGCGGGAGACGTATGTGGCGCTTTCGATTTCACGAAACTGAAAGTGCCTATATGTTCGGGTGGATGTCGTTGACTCTGATGTTTGTTTGTCACGGTTGGTCGGCCCTCTAACATACGAGGCTTATCCTATCGTGATAAACTGGAATGCTGTAATTTGACATCGCTATTTATTTTGTTTTCAGCCTGTCGCTTTGCGTCGCATACGTCGTAACTTCGTTCAATTTTTTCTTCACTCACTGCTTCATTATATGGTTTCAGAATATATAAATAATGTTTATTTTTTAACGCAATAATGAAGTATAATTTGCGGCTTATGTCTTAAATCTTTTAATCAAAGTCTAATATATCCGGCTAGTTGCATAAACACTATAAATATTTGTGTTTTTATTTATGTTTATGCAACTAAGCAGGTACTTTACAAAAGGGAACATGTGCATGCTTGCGAATAAGATTTATTATGTAATATTTATTATATTCTATTTTTAATTTTCTAACAAACTGATGTATTATTCATGGTTGTTCATGCTGTTTGAGATCTAGCGCCTCTTCCGTCGCATTGTGGTGCACCGCATGCTGGAAAGTTGTATTTCATTACATATTAATAGTTAATACTATATTCATTCAGAGTTATTTAGTAATATTAGATACAGTCCGTTTAACAAGTATTTGTGTTCTTTTTCTTTTTGAAGTTTATTATTAATATTTATAATTTTCTCTATTGTTTTTTATTAGATCAGTAGTGCTCTATTTATTATGTAATTTATATTTTATTATATTGGATTTCTTTAAAGCGTGTTAGTAATTAAGCAAGTGTCTTCTACTTGTATGATAAATTAAATTCAAATAATTAGATACTTATTGAAGTTTGCACTTGTCTTCATTTGCGTAAAATCTATTGTAAACTTCTACATTATTCAACTTCTGTAAATTAACAATTATGTAATTATTAGTAAATTGTTTGTGTAAGCCATCGTATATTCTCTTATCTTTCATATATCCTGGATTTCCGTAAAAAATATGCTTATCTATACTAACACTAATAGACCTAAAAGGCCATAATGTTGGCTGGAACCACAAGACTTTAATCCTCAGGAGGGGCAATGCAAAGGTCTCACTTTGCTTTCAGTATATTGTACTCGTATGTAGTTTACGGTGTTATTAATGTCTATGGATAATAGTGGCAAATAATAATATATATTTATTAGTTATATATATATATATATATATTATTATTATGTATGTATTATTATATAGGTGACAGCTATTATTTTTTATTTCTTTATTCTTTATTGACGATATTATAAAAAAAATGTCTGGTACAAAAAGCGGACTTAATGCTATTTAACGTTCTCTTCCCAGTCAACCTTTGGAAAATTAGAAATGTAATTATATTCTACAATACAAAACAAAAACCAATGTCACCTTTAACAGTTTCCAGGCGATAATTTCAAAATTGGACCGCGTGGAAGTTTCTATTGACGGCGTGCAGAGTGGTCATCATGTACGTCAATGCAGGCAGTTCCGCTCGATTGCATCTCGAGGTTTCTATTCCGTAGACTGTTACCGCTAGTGACACTGTTTGGTCGGATATTTTTTTTATTTTATCGTTAAATTCCGTCGTGGCTTCGATGATCTTGTCAATGTCAAGGTTCGAAGACTGCGAGTTTGAATTTATGTTGCTGCAGAATAACTCACTGTTGTCAATGAATATCCAAAGACAACATGATGATGATGAATTTAAGATTTTTGATCCACGAAATAAAAATGAGAAAACTGCTTTAGTCGTGACAAAATTTGTGTCTACTGTTCGTTGACTTAACTAAATAAAAAAAAATAATTAATAAGACCAACACCAGAGTAAATGTTATCAATTGTAAACGGATGATTAGAATTTTGAAAATTCTTCCGTCTTAATAGTTATTTTATTTTGCACAATACATTTTTCAATGATAATAACAATATTACTAATGCAACAGATTATAAAATATATTCGATCGCAATTATAAATACATACAAACAACCTCTATGCTAATTCAAAACGTCAGAAATGAATTCTATTAAACCATTGTTTGATAGCAGTAAAGTCAGGCTGGATAATAATGTAACGGGATTTATAGAGATGCTGTTTCCCATAGTAAACGATGGCACTGCAAATTATATGCTGAAATATACGAGTACAATGTTATACTTTATAGAATCCATTTCAAATGCGGTTATATCGAATTTCTAATGTGAAATTAAATATTTTTTTTTAAATACATTTGTATAATATGGCAGTGTATACATTTTTTTTTAATAACAGAAAATATTAAAATATATAAAAAAGATGTATAAAAAAGACTACGAGTTTCTCATAATCGACGTAGTTACCTTGAAATGTCTAGATTAAATTTTAGTATATCGTATTTTTTATGTATCGTTGATTTACTATATTTTAACGTCTCTTTATGTATGATACCAATTCTGGTTTCACGTGTTCTTGTTGAACTAGAACTAATAATAATTTGAATAAAGAATATAGAAATTGATTTTGTTATTAAAATTAATATCTATTTTTTTTTTCTTGATTGTGAAAAACTAGAGAAAGAACATTTGTCCTGCTGATTCAAGACAAACTATAAAGTTCGTTTCCTAAATTGGCCTACTAGAAGTATTTTATAATTTACCTTGAATTTAGTATAAAACATAAAAAAAAAACAAGAACTAAAAGCAAAAAATACCTACTTCAGTTGTCTAAAACTCTGTAGTTTTGATTTAAAAAAGACTATCGATTTCGATAAAATTTCCATGGGTCCAATGTGTAAGTATATCCTTTCAGATAAAAAAAAGAATTTTAGAAATCGTTTTATAGCTGACGGAGTTATGAGGTAATGAACATAAAAAAACAACTGCATCGAGTACCTCTTTCTTCTTGAAATCGGTTGCAAATAGGAGACAATCCACTTCAAACTGTAAAACAAGAACTCGAAAACCGAATATGTAAAGCGAGATATCCCTCAAAACAATTGACATTTGGACAATTGGACATTTGTCCACCGTCAACGCTACGTTGTGAATCTCATTCACCGCAACATGTAAATAAAAACAGCTAACTTTTATACACCACTGTATTGTTACTTCTCTGCTCGTCAATTAGAAATATGCTAATAAAGAATAACTATAAAATGTATTGTTTACGATGTTAGTTTCTACTGGCCGTTTAGATAACCAAATGTAGTTATAAAGCGACATGTACATGTCTCGCAAGACAACTGACGCGTGCTCACCATTCGTGCTGCGTTGTGCGCCTCATTCACCGCAACATGCAAATGAAAATAACTAGGCGTTATTTATCACTGTATTGTTACTTGTTACTGTCTTCTCTGCACAAGAAATAGAAGTATGCTGTTAAAAAAAAACTAAAACCTATTGTTTACGATGCTGGTTTCTCCACTCGCCGTTTAGTTCGGCAAGATGTTTTATTTATGGTAGTTTCATGGTCTACTGTAACGTCTGGGAGAAATTATAATCTGTGGTATTTTTACAAAAAGGATTGATCCTTTTAATCGATTTCCAAAAAAGGACCTTAATACGTCTATATATATTTTTTTAATGGATGATAATGGAATGGTAACTCCGCCTGCGCTATCGGTATACACCGGCGGGGCACCAGTGAAGGGTGACAGATGAGAATGAAAACAGGCCAGTTAGCCCATCATCATCCCTACTTAGCAATTATAGATAGCAAATGGCGTAGAAAGTGCGAGTTTAAACTCCGTCCATTTAAATTTTTTTTTTTTCTTAATCATATCCCTTTTGGAAGAGGTCTATGTTCAGCAGTGGACAGTAGACGGCTGATATGATGATGATGATGATACATTTCCATGATAATGATGATGCAACAATTATTACTCGAATATTGTTTTAATATTTTAATAATCTTTCTAAGCGTTATTGTTTACATAAACTATAAATCTTTGCACGTACTACACACAGATCATATCTTTTGATCGCTGCATATGGAAGTTCAACTAAATAGGCCAACTACCATATGGCGTAGGTAGACATAAAAGCAAACGAGAGACAACATAGAAAGTCAACACAATATTACTCAATGGAAAGCCCTTTGACCTCGAAACGGCGATGAGTCATGAAGCTCTAACAGCTTTTGAACAAAGTGTTCTATACTGCATGTAAATACAATAGGATGCTAATGAACAGAGGTAAACGATACGATTTTTTTATACAGTTATATCTAAATTAGCTGTATTCTTCGGTTTATTGTTTATTTTTGTGGACTAACACGGTTTTTTATGTTTTCGAAAATTTATTTTGCGAATTGAAAGCCTCTTACTATTTGAAACAAGTTTAAGGCAGGACAAAAGAACTTTTTGATAAAGCAGAAGCCTTAATTAAGTGACTTAGAAAAAGCGATTCTGTCTAATTTTCATGGGGCATTTTAAAGTAGGGCATTGGACCTTTTAAGGCAGGTCATTGCCCCTCAATGTCTCTCCCCCCTCCAACCCTCCTCCAGCTACAGTCATATTTCCTGGGAACACATCGCATAAACATTTCAGTCAAAATTGCATAATAAGGTTAATATTTCCAATTTATTGTCATATAAATAAAGACTATAGACAGAAGAAGCTTAGAAGACAATAGCTGCAGATAAAGAACAAGTGTTTATTATTGAAAGCAATTATACGGATTACTATAAATTTAAAATAACAGACTAATAGTGCCATATGATGCTGTATTTATGCTTAATATAGATACGCCACTAAGTTCTATGCAAATTTTATTTGCGATGTTCTCTACATTCTTGTTTAGACTGCGGTCAATATGACCTATTGACAAATCTAAGGCTATAGGCGTCATGATATATTTTATAATGTCCAGGTTTTTTCCAAGAGACTACAGCATGGGCTTCTTTAAAAAAGGGATAAAGAGGGTTTCCTTTTTTAAAGAAGCTTCAGAGTCGGCAATGTGTTCATAATAAATAACCCTGGTAATGCAGGCGTTCATAGGCTACGGTAATCGCTTACCATTAGGTGGGTCGTATGCTTATTTGCTACCTCACTAGTGTAAAAAAAATTCATTGACACGACAACAGATAGTACAAAGTCGCGTCGCGGGCCACAACGCGCTCTAAGCAAAGAATTTACTTCATGAACCATGAATATTCATCAAGTATTGTTGTTACAAAAGCAATACCATATCTGATTCCATGT